GTGGAAATAGAAGCAATATCTTCTTATACATTGATATGCTAAAACATTTTTACAATCTCCTACAAGACCTATCCTTTGAAAGTGTGTCATGTAAGCTGCTACATGTAACCTTGAATTACTCCCACGCTTAGTATCCTCTTGGCATTCTCAAACTTTACTTAAAAGCTCTTGTTCAATATACATATTTATATGCCTATGTATTTATGTGGTACAACACTGACTGTATTTGCTCAAAAAGGAGATTGTAATCAGTATGCAAACATTTTAAGTATCTCAAATCAGCCTACATAAAGTTGAAGTGTTGGTAAAGGATGCTTTCATAGATTATTTAACATTCTTTTATAATGTTAGATATTCTTATCATACTAGGATGCTAATTTTTTTTTGATAGACTAGGAAGTAACTTGACTTGACTTATGTTTGACATGTGATAGAAGATGTTTATACCATTAATGGGCTCAATTTTGGTTGATTCAGGTCTTTCATGTGAGACTCATTACCTCCCTTTGTGTAATATGTAATCATTTTAGTTCTTGACCTATAAGCAATAAGATAAAAAAAAATGGCAAAAAAGAATCACCAATTTTTTTTATCAAAATCTGAAATAAATCTCGAACTATTATTTCAATTCATTTGCAAATGAATGACGTAGGGCCTTATTTTAAAAAGTTTAACTATGATAAAATCCTGATTTTAAGAAATAAAATAATTATGAAATTTCAATCCATTTTAAGTGAGTGACCAATGAAATGACTGGAACCCAAAACCAAGTTTTTTTTAGAATGAGGCCCCTCATAAGAAGCCTGATACTGACATAAAGCTACATTAAAGGAGCACCTTCACTATGTGTTCGACCAATCATACCTTAGTTCCAGAAACAGGAATTTATTTGGTTTACATAATCAGTAATAGTGTTCACAGCTCATCGTTAAACTTTGAGCCTTCAAATCCATGTATATCCATAATTATTCACGTTTGAAAGTTAAAAATCTGACTCGAAAGTTTTTTAAGACATATATAGGAATAGAAAGTGAAATTTCTAGTTTGAGGTATATTTGAAGGGATTATGTGATTTTTGTGCGTTTTAGTACTTCTCAAGACTATAGAAGCCCCAAATCAATCTCCTAAAATGCCAACTGTTCCCCTTGAGTCATGTAACCTATCAATGTGATTCTACTTAAATCAAACCTTGTATGTGGTCTTATCATTTAAAATCATTCGTAAAAGCTATCAGGTGTATTTATCTGTAGAATATTGGAATTTGTCAGAATAGAATTGTTGTAAGTTATTTTGTATGAGTAGGTAGAATATATTATTTATAATGGTTCAATACTCTAGTTTCATTATGACACATCTCTGACTGTATGTACCAATCAATGACCTGGCCAACAGGTAACTAACAATCTATATTGTGGTACTTACTTAACATGTAAGTTAGCTTTTTATTATGTTTTGTTTGTTTTTTTGTGATTAATTGGTTACTAAATAATTGTGTTTGTTAAAATGATGAGTAGTTTCAGATATTAAATAAAAACTTTTTTTTGGATTTGTTGTGATTTGGAATTGGATGAGTTTAATTTTGATGTGGAATTCAGAATTGTTTAAAATGATTTTGATGATAATTGATGATTTGTTGTGATGGATGGAGAATTTTGTCATCATTTTGATATTTAATGATGACTTGTTGTGATGGATGGAGAATTTTGCTATGATTTTGATGTTTAATGATGACTTGTTGTGATATTGATATCAAATGACATTTTATGTTTGTTATTGATTTTTATACACCCACATCTCTCTTTGTCGGCACCCCGGTCCGTCCATCCATCGGTGGGTCGGTTCGTTTGCTTGTAAACGCTCTTAAAAGTATATTTTTTGATGGAATCAAATGAAATTCGGTATGTGTATACATATTCATAAAACGAAGATCAAGTTCGAATTTGAGCTATTTTCGACCGTTAGAAGCAGAGTTATTGCCCTTGCCCCAAAATCTTGAATATGCTATTACTCTCTTAGTTTTCAACCGATTTTGATGAAACTTAAAATGGATGTTATTGGACCTAAATCGAAAGGTTTGAAAAAGTTAAGTAAACTTCTGATTAAATTTAAGGCTTTTTCAAGATTTAGGCCTATTACGTCAGTTTTGAGGAGTTATCGCCCTTTAACCTCTATACAGTAAGTGCTTCTATCAACATCAATTGCTTGTAAACGCTCTAAAAACTAGATTTTTTGATGAAATCAAATGAAATTCGGTATGTGTATACATACTTATAAAACGAAGATCATGTTCGAATTTGAGCTATTTTCGACTGTTAGAAGCAGAGTTATTGTCCTTGCCCCAAAATCTTGAATGTGCTATTAATCTCTTAGTTTTCAATCGATTTTAATGAAACTTAGAATGGATGTTTTGTTTTTACCATCCGAATGCCGTGAAGGGCGTATATGGCTGTGGTCCACTATCTTTTTAACAAGTATTTATATAAAACATATATAGAGCTAATATCTGGATGTGTTTTGAGTTGTAAAAAAATTTGAATTTTTATGGAAAGTGAAAAATGATATCAATTGAAAATAAATTTGAGTGTTTAAAATGTGTCAAATTGAAACTTAAATCGTTGAACCCTGAGTGTAATGAAATTAAAACGTCAAATATCATGAACTCCAAGTAAAAGCATATGACATTGTGTGATGTAACAGCGGGTTTAGCAGCTGCTGAGGAATATACTGCATATGTGTGTGGCCTTTAGGGTTGAAAGGGTTAAATACCCGGTATGTTATGTTCCATAACTGCATTAATGTAAATAAAATTGTCAAATTGATGCTGTGTTGAGTGTTATATTTCTTCATGAAGATGTTATATTGTCAAATTTAAATGTACATGATGTTATAATGCTTCTTAAGTATACTACACTGAAAGAAGCTATTTTTTATTTGCTGTCAGTGGGTAGTGTGTTGGCTCAAGTCCATGATTCAATTTAAAGTCATGTAAATCAGTCTGTATCAAATCTTTTCAATACACAGCATATACATAATGTTTCAAACTTGATCATATTTGAATATATGCACTTTCTGTACACTGATAGCTATTCTGTTATTGATTTTCTCTGTTATTCTATTACCCATGGTATTTATTCTTACATTAGATATTACACCACCTCTTTATAATAGCATAATCAATAGGTTTTAATTCATTCAAATACACATTAACAAATATCAGCTAAATATTTGCTAATAGCTTATAGAGCTCAATTTCAAATATCTACAATATAATATATGGTTTGTCTATAATTGAATACAAACGTAAAGGATAATGGCTTATGCAAGATTTCTGCTTCATGACATTCTCATGAGGATATCACTGATGGTATCATTTCAATATCAGTAATATCAGCAAGATATGAAGAATATGTCATCTTTAGCACCTTAAAGAAATCAATTTGTTTTAAATCAGATGTTGGATCTGAATGATTTTGAAGACTTTAAGTATGCCTATTTTGAGATTAATATTGAAATCTTAAATTAATTGATTGGACAAACAATGTGATATACATCAGGTATTGATCAGTATTCAATTTTTTTAGTAACTGATATATTTCAACAAGATAATAAATATGATATTGTAATCTAAGAAGATATTATTATCATAATTATATTTTTATGATTATAATTGTTGTATACAACCCTAGCATAGTATCTAGTATAGAAATATACTGACTGTTTGTGGCCTTGTGTACCATATGTTTCAATTATAGAGAATGATTTGAATTGATATAATAATCTATCAGTTACTAGTTTTTGTATATTTTAAAGAAGGACACTTTGAAGTTAGTTTTTACCTATATTTTGATTATTTGTGTATTGAAGCGAGGAGAAATAATGGTTTTAAAATGGCTATAAACTAGTTGAACAAGTTTTAGGTCCGCAATATCTATTATTCTTTCCTTTCAATTCAACTGAAAAAACTTGAAAACATTATGAATGTATTTCAATAAAATAATCTAAGCATAAAACTTGTTTTTTACAATGATATATAATCTACCATAAAGACATGCTATTTTTCATTATTTATAGTTATGTAATTTTGTCTCTTATCATTTTGTGTACATACAGTATAAATATACTATTGGTAATGAGATAAATGAAGAATTCATTGAATTTTTTAAACTCTCAAACTGAAACATAATGGAGTTAAAAGTTTATCAGGACTATGTGATGTTCCATAAGAACAAATGTCAATCTCAATAAAATACTGACTAAGGTTAGGGAGCATGTAACTTGCATTTAAAATTTTTGAGGGGAGAGGGGGTGTAATTTTTATTCTTTTTGTGCTTTATACACGATTAAATCTGAATACAGGTTTTACTGCATTACATGTTTCTGAAGGACTTGGTGACCAGTGGGGTGTGGTTCCGCCACAATGCATTTCCACATACTAACAGTAACTATCGTGATGAAATGAAACTTCTCTTTGTAATATCAAATTGGATTATCAGTATTAATGTTGAAACCTTCATTCCTTTGGATAATTTAGTCAATCCCATTTATAAGCATGTCATCATTAATTATTGTCACCAATTTCTAGGTTGTCAGTTGACCTAGACTAAAAGTCTCCTGACATTTTTTCCTTTTATATCTTTCTTGTTCTCATTTTATCCTTCATCATCACAAACATAAGTAATATTTATCTGAATATTTTAACAGTTTTAGCTAGTATGTCAATATGATATTCTGATATGAAATTAACGTATTCAAATGGAGTTTTCTAATCTAATTTTGGTAAACAGAAATCTTCTATTTGCACTGATCTAATCTGGATATACAGGAACCACAGACTTCGAACAAAAAAATAATACTGCATACTCCAAAAACAAATTAGTATGAACATCTGAAATTCCTTTCAAATCATTTGCATGGAGAAATAAGGAATAATAGAGCTAAATAGAAATCAGATGGATTATCTATGTGACAATTTTTGTATATATTTCAGAAGGTAGCTGAAGATGGATTTAAATATACCAGGAATAATATCTATTGGGGTATTTTATCTAGTTATATTATTAGTGGGTATATTAGCAGCAAGGTTTGTCAAATATAAAGATAAAGACAATATAAACAATACTACTAGTGAATTGACAGTTGTTGCTGGTCGTAGTTTACATGGTATTGTTGGTACTTTTACTATGATAGGTAAGTTTTTTCAAATTTTGTTGCAGTATCAATGATTTCCATGATCGCTGGAGAATAATTTTGGATACACTTGCATTGTATGTCTATAATTACTTCATTGCCAATGCTTCATATTCTGCTATTCTACCAAGGAAGGTGCCATGGAATGTGAAATAAGATCAAAATTTGATTTGATTTCTAACCATTGCATTAGTGCCCAAGGTATGATTCTCCTGCAAATCAAAAGCTTGAACAATAGTGCTAGTATTCTTGTCTGTAGACATTACAGATGTCATGATATACAGGGCAATATCACAAGAATGTCAATCATGCCCTAAGAGTGACGATCGTCTAAATTTCATCATATATTTTTGATGCCGTGTATGAAAATTTAAGTCTAAGATTAAAACCACAAATAGCCACTGGTATTGATCTCTTTTATTTGGTACACAACTCTATCCTATTTATACTGTATATTTCAGCAACTGCTGTAGGTGGTGGTTTTATAAATGGAACAAGTGAATCTATAGCTAAAGATGGTTTAGCATGGACTATCTCACCATTTGCTATCTGTATTGGTTTGATACTCGGTCAGTATAGCTTATCTATCAACAGGTTTTTCAAGATCAAAATGCAGGATTGTTGATTTGACTGTATTTTCCACACATGAATGATTAGAACTGTAAAATGTTTTTAGAAGAATATTAAGAAACTAAAGTATTAAAATGAACTTTTCACAAAAATAATCACTCCCAGAAGGCAGAGAACGGTAATGCTTACCAAATGTTCATCTTTTTCCAGGAGGATTGATCTATGCTGGTAGAATGAGAGACAGGCAGTATATAACCATGTTACAACCTATTCTAGAGAATTTTGGTCGATTACCAGCTTTTCTGGTTTATTTAGCCACCTTAACTGGAGATTTATTTTGGACAGCATCCATTTTAAATGCCTTAGGTACTTATTTACTGGTTTCTAAAATTCTAAAAAAAATTATATTATTGATAACAGACCATTTTGAATTGTATTGTTGTTTTGTTTGTCAAAATGTGTTTGCTGTGGCTTTTCTTCTTATCCAGTAATAAATAAAACAAAGATGTTCTTGTTATGTTTAAGGTACAACAATAAGTGTAATCATTGGGTTAGATGTATTAACATCTATATTAGTATCAGCTGGTGTTACAGTACTATATACTATGATAGGACAAATGATCTCAGTAGCTTATACCGATTTAGTACAGTTATTTTTTATTGCCCTTGGTTTGGTAGGTATTGTTTAGATATTGCTTTTATAGGGATTCAAAGATTTCCTAGCCTATGTTTATGTACATCATTTAAGTCTCTTGCATCTATGGTTCCTGTGATTCCTGAAATACTGTGCCCTTTACAAGGGCTTTTGAAATAACGGTGTCATAACCAAGTCAAGTTTTTCTGGAACTATAACAGTCACAGATGTGCAATGGAAATATAATTGTTGTTAACAGAAGTAATAACTGTTCTTCAATATATGGTCCATACAAGCATACTACCAGTTGATAGTTTGTCCCATCTTATATTTGTAGATATTAGCTATTCCATTTGCCATGTTAAATGATGCAGTTGGTAATATAGGTGAGACATCATCACAATGGTTAGGATCTATTGAACCTATGGCTTCTATAGCCTGGGTAGATTTAGCTATAGCTATGGTAAGTTACTACTACTAACTTAATAGGTCACATCATCTATCTTATTTTCATATTCACACAGTGACTGGCCGGGGGGAAACCGAAGAATAGGAGCTTATACATGTACATAGTTTTAATTGCTGTATTTTAAAGGGACAGGTTTGCCATCTGTTTGACCAATTATAACTAAGTCTCAGATACAGGATTTTTTAGCTAAACTTATCAGTAACAGCTACCGTCAAAACTTAAACATTCTAATCCATATGTGTCTAAAATTGTCTGCATTTAAAAGTTAACAGTTTTAGACTATGCTATACTAGAGAAAAGACATATATTGAAATAGATAGAGAAATTACTATTTTGAGGTATTTTCTAACATTTAAAGTACTTCTTAAGACTATTTACATTATTCCAGGCCAAAATCAACCCCCGAAAATATTCCCTTTAATATTTATTTTGTTTCAGTCACAGAATTTTTAGGTGATGGAAGAGTAACAAGTTACAATTTGATAGTAGACAGTGGCATAAGATATTTGTAAGAGACAGAGCAAAAAAGATTTGTAAAGAGCATTTTACAGCCATAAAATTTACTACAAGGAAACTGGAAATATGTTTTTATGTTAATCTAGCCTCATCTTAATATTCTATAAACCTCAATGTTTATATTAACTATTTGTAGATTCTGGGAACCATACCCTGGCAGTCATATTTCCAGAGAGTGTTAGCTGTAAGAAGTGTTAAGGAAGCTAAAGTGTTATCAGTGTTGGCTGGATTCGGTAGTTTATTGTTTGCTGTTCCACCATTTCTAATTGGTATCATCAGTACTAGTGCTGGTAGGTATCCTATTGGAAAGTTTCATGAAAGATTTTGACAATATGTACTTGGTTTTAGCACCTCAATAGTTCATAGCGACATGTCACTTTTGACGAGACAAAATTCATGAATAAATTGGTACAAAGTCTCCTTATAACCTACAAACTAACTAATATTATGTTTCAGAAATGTTATTTTGTTATGATATATATTATGTTTCAGAAATGTTATTTAGTTATGATATCTAATATGTTTTAGATGGGAGTAATATTAGTTTAACATCAGGATTATTTAGTTATTTTATATTTCAGATTGGGGAAATGTTAGTATAACATAAGAATTTTTTAGTTATGTTATATTTTAGATTTTAGATTTGAGTGATGTTAGTATTAAACATCAGAATGATTAAGTTATGATATGTATCATATTTTAGATTTGAGTAATGTTAGTATAACATCAGGATTATTTAGTTATGTTATATTTTAGATTTGAGAAATGTTAGTATATCATTAAGATTATGTAGTTATGTTATATTTTATATTTCAGATTTGAGAAATGTTAGTATAACATCAGGATTATTTAGTTATGTTATATTTTATATTTCAGATTGGGAAAATGTTAGTATAACATAAGAATTTTTTAGTTATGTTATATTTTAGATTTTAGATTTGAGTGATGTTAGTATTAAACATCAGGATTATTTAGTTATGATATGTATTATATTTTGGATTTGAGAAATGTTAGTATATCATTAAGATTATTTAGTTATGTTATATTTTATACTTCAGATTTGAGAAATGTTAGTATAACATCAGGATTATTTAGTTATGATATATATTATATTTTGGATTTGAGAAATGTTAGTATATCATTAAGATTATTTAGTTATGTTATATTTTATATTTCAGATTTGAGAAATGTTAGTATATCATTAGGATTATTTAGTTATGATATATTTTATATTTCAGATTTGAGTGATGTTAGTATATCATTAAGATTATTTAGTTATGATATGTATTATATTTTGGATTTGAGAAATATTAGTATAAAATCAGGATTATTTAGTTATGTTATATTTTATATTTCAGATTTGAGAAATATTAGTATAAAATCAGGATTATTTAGTTATGTTATATTTTATATTTTAGATTTGAGAAATGTTAGTATATCATTAGGATTATTTAGTTATGATATATTTTATATTTCAGATTTGAGAAATGTTAGTATATCATGAAGATTATTTAGTTATGTTATATTTTATATTTCAGATTGGAGAAATGTTAGTATATCATTAAGATTATTTAGTTATGTTATATTTTATATTTTAGATTTGAGAAATGTTAGTATATCATTAGGATTATTTAGTTATGATATGTATTATATTTTGGATTTGAGAAATATTAGTATAAAATCAGGATTATTTAGTTATGTTATATTTTATATTTCAGATTTGAGAAATGTTAGTATATCATTAGGATTATTTAGTTATGATATATTTTATATTTCAGATTTGAGAAATGTTAGTATATCATGAAGATTATTTAGTTATGTTATATTTTATACTTCAGATTTGAGAAATGTTAGTATATCATTAGGATTATTTAGTTCTGTTATATTTTATATTTCAGATTGGAGAAATGATAGTATAACATCAGAATTATTTAGTTATGTTATATTTTATATTTTAGATTGTTGAAATGTTAGTATAACATCAGAATTATTTAGTTATGTTATATTTTATATTTCAGATTTGAGAAATGTTAGTATAACATCAGAATTATTTAGTTATGATATGTATTATATTTCAGATTTGAGAAATGTTAGTATAACATCAGGATTATTTAGTTATGTTATATTTTATATTTCAGATTTGAGAAATGTTAGTATATCATTAGGATTATTTAGTTATGTTATATTTTATATTTTAGATTTGAGAAATGTTAGTATAACATCAGAATTATTTAGTTATGATATATATTATATTTTGGATTTAGGAAATGATAGTATATCATTAGGATTATTTAGTTCTGTTATATTTTATATTTCAGATTGGAGAAATGTTAGTATAACATCAGGATTATTTAGTTATGTTATATTTTATATTTCAGATTTGAGAAATGTTCGTATAACATCAGGATTATTTAGTTATATTATATTTTATATTTCAGATTGGAGAAATGTTAGTATAACATCAGGATTATTTAGTTATGTTATATTTTATATTTCAGATTGGAGAAATGTTAGTATTACATCAGGATTATTTACTTATGTTATATTTTATATTTCAGATTGGAGAAATGTTAGTATAACATCAGAATTATTTAGTTATGTTATATTTTATATTTCAGATTGTTGAAATGTTAGTATAACATCAGGATTATTTAGTTATGTTATATTTTATATTTCAGATTTGAGAAATGTTAGTATATCATTAGGATTATTTAGTTATGATATATTTTATATTTCAGATTTGAGAAATGTTAGTATATCATTAAGATTATTTAGTTATGTTATATTTTATATTTCAGATTGTTGAAATGTTAGTATAACATCAGGATTATTTAGTTATGTTATATTTTATATTTCAGATTGGAGAAATATTAGTATAAAATCAGAATTATTTAGTTATGTTATATTTTATATTTCAGATTGGGGAAATGTTAGTATAACATCAGGATTTTTTAGTTATGTTATATTTTATATTTCAGATTGGAGAAATGTTAGTATAACATCAGGATTATTTAGTTATGTTATATTTTATATTTCAGATTGGAGAAATGTTAGTATAACATCAGGAATTAATCCAGCCAATACTAGCCAGAGTAGTATGATATTACCATTAGTTATTAATGAATTTACACCAGCACCAGTAGCTATTATAGGTAATTTTTCTATGTCACATTTTGTTGTGGGCTGTAGCTTGGTTAGACTTTTTGAAAACTTAGAACATTCTGAATCTAATGAAAGAGATTCATTAAAGATATTTTATGTGTAACAGGGACTCTTAGTCTTTGCCATTGAATTCCCCTCTGTTGTCTGTCGAAGATTGTTTATTCTACTGATAATATTACTCATACCTTCAGTATTACATCAGACCCTTGCTTAGTGGTTATTGATGATTGATTGTCAAGTTAGATCTAGGATCAGCTGGTAGAGAGGATCTTTGGATGCTGCTTTCAATCATAGTTGCAGCAAAAACATGATGACATGTTTTTTTTTGTTGAGATAACAAACATTTTCATTTAGTTTATAGATCATTGGTGTTTTTTGTAGGTCTGGGAGCTGTATGTGGTGCTGTGATGTCATCAATGGACAGTTCTATACTTGGCTCATCTTCTATGTTTACACATCATGTATATAAACCTATTCTTCGCAAAAATGTAAGATTTCTTTTAATTTTTATGAATAACAGATTTATTTGTAAATCATCAAAAGTGAAGGAGCTGTGTGATGCAGACTGTGCATTGATGAAATGTTTACTGTAGAAGAGAAACGCTATGCAGTGTGCAACAAGGGATATTTTGCCAAGACAAGACAAGACGATAATGTCTAATTGCCTGTAGATACTAACGATGTAGTAACGGGTATAAATATAAAATTACAAATAATGACATTTCCCATTCTCCAGGGAAAAGTTCAAGACACAGTAGGTACAAGAAAGGTGTCTTTTCATTGATACCACTGTCCTGGCAAGATTTCCTTCTTAAAACACTGTATTGCCTCTCTCCAATAGAAATTAGACAGACAAGATAATCAGATGATAAACATTATGATTTATTGTATTTTAGGCTGGTGATACAGAGTTAATATGGATACAGAGAATATTTATATTTATAATAGGAGCTGGGGCTACAGCCATATCTCTATATGTTGATACAATATGGGGACTGTTTGTTCTAGCTGCTGATATAGTATTTGTTATAGTTCTACCACAATTAACTTGTTCTCTTTTTTTCTCTGACTTGAATGGCTATGGTGCTGTAATGGCCTTCATAGCAGGCGTCGTGCTTCGAATAGGTGCTGGAGAATCTACGCTCGGACTTTCACCATTTATATACTATCCTTTGTATGATTACGAGCGTGGAGAACAAGGATTTCCATTCCGTGTGCTGGCTTTTGTAGCCTCTACCGTGACTTTAGTGCTTGTGTCGTATCTATTTAGACTGATATTTAAATGTGGATGTTTACCAACCTGGATGGATCCATTCAATATTTTAGAACATGGAAGTGTTAAATATGATTTGAGCAAGGAGAATCCAATGTTCCACATGGAAACCTTTACCGATTCCATCTACAGACCTCGACCGTCAATAGAAATGAATAATAAATTGAAATATTAATATTAACTGTGATATAATCTATGTAATGTGTGTCTATGTGAAAAGACAGGTCGGTTGATTTAACAGTTAATGTCTAATTGGAATTTGTAATATTTGGTTATGAATTGCGTCTTTAAGAATTTCATCAATATAAGACAAGTATAGAAGCATCACAAAACTGTGGAAAAATTGAAAATGAAATTGGAGTACTGATTTTTGGATTGGTAGTAAATATATTAATCATAGTAATCTGAAAATACCATTACCAAAATTCATTCCTATATATGAGTTAATTAGAACCCGAAACATGAGCCTGAGCTTGAAAATAAACTGTGAGTTATTATGGTATATGGATAGACTTTTGTCCATGGATAAAACATCTATTGTGTTAACACGAAGTAGGTGTCTTTCATGGATATAACATTGTCTATTTACATGTTAATTTGTCTATCATGGATATAAAACTTTCAAAATTTCTTGAAATAGACATAACTGATAATATTGTCCATCAAGACAAGATGGATATAAGTTCATAATTTATAGTATTATCCCTCTCAGATAAGTTTTAAGGCCCTAATGGTTACAAAATTTCATTAACATGATGTAATAATTTGTCATAATAGAGTATATAAGATTGCCTAATTTGAATAGAGTGCTAATAACACAAAACCTAATGATATAATTTTGCATTAATAATTATTTTACTTAATAATATTCATAAGCATTATCTGTATATGTATTGTTGTGTTTTTTATACTGCTTGCAAGCAAAGCTTTTTTTTTAAATTTTTATACTTCACTATCATTTGATCTTTTCATGTCACAGAGAGCCCACAGGATAAACACGTAAGAGAAATAAGGATTGCACAGGCAATTATTATGTAGGTGAAGCCATCCACTTATAGCATTCAAAACAGATATGGCATGTCTTCATTCAGAGTTCCTATCAACAAATATAGAAATCCCATCAAAAACCTCAACAATAAAAATAGACTTTGCAGATCCAGTACTGTACCCACTTAAAACCTAGCAATTCAACAAAATGGTTATCATGTTTGCTATACCAACTATACACACTTTTCTGAAATTTTCAACTGACTGTAGTTTTCCAGAAATCTAATGTTTGTTAACTTATTTAAGATGTCAGATTAGAAATCTAAAAAATAAAGAAAAATAACAAATTTATAACTTTCTAATATTGGCTTTATTACAAATCATAAAAAATTAAACTAAAATAATCCAAAGCCCAATATAAGAAATCATTTTTAACAAAATGATATACATATATGCATTATAAAAGATTCAATATACAAGAGACAATGAAGAAGGATGACATCTGAATGATGTATTTTGAGATAAAAAAATTCTGGGAATTCAAAGAAAGTTGATTTATTGTGTACAAGAGTCTATATTTATTTAGGGTGTTTCTCTTTTGCACCATTCTGATTTCTCGTCTTAACAATTGTTGTTTTTCTAAAAAAGAAGTTGATTAAGAGATACACAAACATACACAATCATACTTCATGCCATCTATACAATGTAACTTCCTACTTATACCTTGACTGTATTAGTCACCTTTCTTGTATCATGGAATTTTATAAATGAAAATACAGCCAATAAGAGCCTGGATAAAAATTCTGTAAACATTCAGCTCAGACTTTCTGTTAAGGCCTTGCTAGCCTACAATCCAATCAAATAGCTGCATTCCATGATAGAAGAATAGTGGCCATTGCAGTCAAGGTATAAGTTCAAAGTTCGAATAGCTTGACATTGTAGGTATGACTGTGTGTATGTACTTGAGGCTTGCATAATATGTTCTTATATCATTAAAAGATTTAAGTGGATCATCAATATTAATGAAATAAAAATACAGGAATAGACATATAAATGAAATGAAAATATATATACGGTTTTGAACCTTTTCAAAATCTGCTGATAATTATGAATTATGAAGAAAAACCTATAACATAATTTGATTGAGATTTATACACTGGTCAGCTGTATAAAATAACATCTTCTGATTTTTAAGAGAATAAACAACCCTTTTTAAAGATGAAAGAAACATAATTTCAATTCATAAATTCAACTAAACAGGAACTTAATTGAAAGGAAAAAAAATATTATGCCACACTAAAAGAGATCATAATCCAAGATTTCAAAAATAAAATATTTAAAGAAAGAGTTGTAAAGCTAATACTACGCTTGCAATAAAAGGTTCACATTGACCCAATTTGACATTCTGCACTCAGGAATAATGTACGAAATATACAAGAAATAAGAAAATATATCAAATAAAAAGTTAAAAATATCATCAATTGTTGAAAACAAAATTAAAGCACTAAAATTTATGACACTTTCAATTTGCAGTCTCGTTAATATAAGGGTGATTTTACAAATGAGCAGCTCTGACAATCTGATTCAATAGTAGATAGAGCAATTTAAAGATTTCATGCTTTTAACCCAAGGTTAAACCACTCCCGAAGAAATTGTTATCTAGATTTTGATCAGATTGCAGTGATGACACAGTTTGTAAAAGGACACAATATTACTCCAAATATGACTATTTGACACTAATTTTGAGACAGATCAGACTGTAAAATCAAACAATACTAAGACGCAAACATTATAACTATGCCACAAGTTGCTCTAAATTTGTTTGACTTTAGCCAGCATAACTTGAGTCTTGAGGTCTCAAAATGTGCAAATGAATACAAAATATATTTGGAAACATCATTTTGATCAAAAATTTACAAATTATGAAAAATGAATATGAGACTAAAAAAGTTGGATGAATATAAAAGTGAATTAGTCTACTGCTATGTATTACGTGAAAATGATTATAAAGAAAAATTGAGGTCTTGATTATAATTTGGTTGATAAATAATGCTATATACCATTTTGATTGAGTAAGTTTGTAATTGCAAATTAAGTTTGTATATGCATATTCTTCAAGAGGTCATTGCAAATTAATCCCTTGCACTGATAAAATGATAAAACATCAATATCTACACTCAGTCATCATATTCTTTTAAAACAAACATCCTTCTTTAGGAAAAAAAAATACACATCAAAATTTTTTTTATCATATATACTTGGAGCTACAAAAGCTACATAATGCACAGATATAAACAACCACATATATTTAGTACAAAATTTTCACCTTATTTCCAATATTGAATAAATTCTGATGACATTTAGAGTCAGAAAGAGGCAGAGGCCCATATCAGTCTTAATATGACTTTGGTTAATGATCTCTTCTTCTACAAACCATGCCAAACTATTGCATGCAAAATATGTGTAAGTGGAAGAGTTCATTTATATATTTCAATGAGTGGACCTAATGAACAGTGAACTCTAGCTTATATCTGTACAGAAAGAGACCATTCAAGTTATCAGAATATTCCTAAATATAAGCACTACAGTATAAAATAGTCTTGTACTTATTTTCCAGCAGAAAAACACCATCAGCTGTAAAGACTAAATCGTTGCATCACATATAATCACAACCGCAAACAAAAATTGCACATTTATATACATACATACAGTATTACACAGAGTTGTAGAAAGTTGTAAAACATCTTAAAATTTTACACAGAGGTTTCAGAATTCAGACGTAACACAAATTTGTTACTTTTAGGATCAATCACCTCCTCTGTAAGACTGAAATGTGGTATTTTACGTATGGAACATAATAAAGACACCTCTCCCTGACGAAGTTGAAAAATAGTGCCGTGTTCACATTCTCGAGTCAGCAACTGATCACAAACTAGCACCCATCTCTGTATAGATTTATAGTCTTTATCATTCATTATGACAGCTCCCTGTGATAAATATTTCTCTACAAAACTACGAGGACTAATATCATGTCCGATACATACAGCCAAATGGTTTAACACTGATTCAAAGGTATATCGGGGTTGTTGACGGGTGATACGAAGATATTTTTGTAATGCTCTAGCCATTGATGGGAAAACAGCTTGAGCAGCTTCTTGTGGATCCATTGGAATAGCTGGTCCTAAAAAACACAAAAGTAATCATATGATATTTAAAATAGAATAGTTTAAGGAAACATTTCATTTTCAGCTTTTTAATATTCCAAACCTTAATTTAAACCTTAAAGCTTTATAGAAAAGCAAATCAAATCATAAGACTGCTGCATCTTTTTCAAGGACCATATCTTGAATATTATCAACATATACAAACCTTGTTCTTCCTGCATTCTTTTTATATGAGAGAAAGCCTCTTCTGCAGCAACTATCAATCTGGCTTTCCGCTTTCTGATTCTTCTATCATACTCAACCTCTTCATAGAACCTATCATTATGACTAGCATCTCTTCTTCTTGCAGCTGCAGCAAATACAGCTCGGGATCGTCCTTGTTGATTAGCTTGATTGGGTCCATCTACATCATAAACTTTAAAGCCAGTAAGCTTAGCAGGTTTCTTGGTCGCATTTTCTAAATATGGATTATACACTTCAAAATCTTTGTAATACTGTTCTAGAATCCAAACAGCTGCTCGTTGAATACTGAGTAATCCTAGATTGTAACATTGTGATTTACCGTCTGGTGAACGAACTACCTTGACAACAAACTGTGGTTGTAGCTGTCGAATTTCTAACAATGCTATAGCAAGATAGTGTATAAACAGTAAGCTATCTACAAGATAAACAGCAAACTGTACGATAGCATAGTATTCAGTTTGTCTTTCTTTTAGAATGCGTACACCATAAAACAGCCAGAAGGCAAAAGTTAGCACAAACACAAGGAATAAAACAACAGCACGGAATACAAATACCCTTGGCATAGTTGCCTTAGGTTGTCGGAAAAACAGAGCAAAAGTTCCTATAAGCAGTATAAGTAGTTTAAAGGCAAAGCTTATAAGAAGTCCTTCACATTCAGGTTTACATTGCAAAGAATCTTCACCTTTATTATTGTCACTCTTCCAGTCAAAAATACCCAATTTAGGCAACACAATCATAGCTATTGGTGATAAAAATCCAAAAATACTTAATACTGCTGCCAGGGCAGTACCAACATATCTAGCACAATCAAATCCTACACTATATCCATCATCCATCTCCTTGGCAAACTTCCGCATATCTTCCATAGAGAACCCAGTCTCGCTTGTATTACCAGTAATGGCAGTGGTATTGTCACCCCAATTATCATCTTGTGGTATAACTTGAACTTGGATTCTCTCCTCACCTTCCACCTCTGATCCATGTCCTGGTGCTTGAATAGTTACTGAACGATCATCTCTATAATCTCTTTCTCGATCTCGTCTACTTTGATGACCACTTGATCGTCCAGACGATTGACGATGATGTCGTGGATGCGCACTGCCATGACTACGATGTGATCTCTCTGACCTTTCACTTCGACCTGACCTTACTGACTCTCCTCCATCCATTTTTATTTAATAAACTTTACTATCTGAAAATACAGAAATATATATGAAATTTAAAATTACATTTCCAAATCAGAAAAAAATCAGCCAGGCATTGAAGAATTCCAATCAGATGTAAACTGTCAAAAATAGTAAAATCTACAAACCTACAGAATTCTTGATTTTCATACCCAATTCAGACTAAAAAAGCAACTTGACAACCGATTTTGGAATGATTCAATTAAATAATAGGCTCAAATACATGCCAATATTTACATTATTCCATGCCAACATCATCTTTAAAACCTTAAAACCACACACATACATTTATTTAAAACAAAAAGGTGTTTTTTTCTTTTTACAACATAATTTATTTTCAAAGAAGAAAAAATGTAGGTTGAAATAAATAATGTTGGAGCTCATTAAGTTGTCAGAGAAATTCAAGTTTAAAGAAAACAGTAATTTAAGTTTGATAAAAATACTCAAACATCTTGTAGTTCAACCTCTATCTATATTCTCGACTGACTAATGACGTTAGGTCAAATAACAAAAGTCATGTCTTTAGCTTACTACTCTTCAATCAAGATTTATGTAAGGGTAGAAAAGTATTACTTGACAACATTCAAGTAACATGTAAGGGCACCATTTCACAGCAAATCAACTTCACTATAACTTCAATAAGTCACCAACATGTCGCCCAAAATATCAATTTCAGTTAGTAAGACATTACTGGTCACTTAAAGGTACTCAACATGTGGTATGTTCATTTTTTACAATTGACAGTTAGACTGTCCATAACTATATCTAATATATACAGTTCATTAGGAAATGAAATTTACAGAAATTTTATGAAATAGAGCTTATAATAGATAAAAAATAATAAAGCTTTTGACAAATGTAATCTACATTTACTAAAATTTTCATAATATACCTACACTAGTCTCTTTAAATATGTCATTGTAATTCAAACCTATCAAATATCCAGTAAGACTATGATTAAAGCAATTTTACAAATAGCTACCTCAAACATTAAAGTTCAAAGTATTAAGCTGGAGTTAAAGGTACGGATGTGTTATTTTTGGGGGCTGACTTTCGTCTTTAATCTATGTAAATAGTCTTCCTATTTCCTATATTCGCCTTTTTAACTTTCAAACGCGAATAATTCTGGACACACATGGAGCTAAAAAAATTCCTGTTCTGATAAATAAGGTGTCATTAGTCAAAAGCATGACTCAACTGTCCCTTTCACAGTAATTTAAGAAAAGCTTTGTTTTCAGGTCAAATGTTTTTTCAAATTGGCAAAAAATTATTTCTGTTTCATGCCACTTTAAATGCATAACAAGAGTTTAAAGACTTTAACAGGAAATTACATCAGTATTGTTTAATGCCACTTTAAATTCAAATTTCAAGCTAAGTTAAAACTCTTCAACCATGATACAGGTGTGGAGGTAGAAAAGGTATGTGAAGTTTGTGTCTGGGAAGAAACTGAGTCATTTCATCAAAGTCAGGCCTCACTGTCTTATCAAATGTAAAACACAGTGGGTTATAATAGATAACACAACTCCTTCGTACCCCATTAACACTGATTAAATAAGAATTTATAATTCAGTTTGTTTGAAAACTTGGACTAAATACACACATTTGTACATACTGTGAAGAGGTTTACAAGACATAAATATCTTCAGTTAGAAATCATTTCTTTATGGCCGATTTACAAAATGATCTTTTAACTGTTTACTGTGTTTAACATCTGTTTCATTTAAGTTATGTTTTTAAAATTTCTGGATCATGAACAAAGTAGTCAAGCTCAAAGGAAGCAACAAGTTGGAATATGTTTATTTTAGATCACATTATTTAATGATGATATCAAATATATTCCAATATTCACAGACTGCCAACATAGATTCTAATCGTTGGAAATTGAATAACAAATATAAAGGCATTAATCTCAAAATTACTATTCATATAACCATATCCACAAAATAACAAGCTATAACCAATAGAGCACAAGAAAAAATATATTTGACATATTTCATACTCAATTCATATTTTCACATCTCTAGAAACAAGATTGATTAACATAGTCTACAAGATCAATTATTTACTTCATTATGACAAACATGGCTTAAAACCTATGATGTTTGATGACTAATGTGACAGTAGAAGAATTATAATACATTGAAGAGTTAATTGTACCACATGTAGTCTATATTGATTAAGTTCAAGTAAGAAAAGAAGCTTGTTAAAATATTGATTTCTGGCATGACTCATCATCCATTAGAGTTATCTTTCTTGTTTTCCCACTATCAGCAGGTGACAGGTAAAATTACTAGAGTAGGTTTTAATCCCAATGGAAATAAGGACATATGACATCAGATTAAAGAGACAACTAGCTACTAGTATATTCAAAATATCTCACTGAGAATCATCTTCATGTAGGTTTATGGTTCAATCTGAAAAGGGTTAGCTTTAGATTTTTCCACCAAGGTTCCCCATATTTAATGCAAATTATTAAAGACAGAAATTCCCTAAGATTTTATCTAGTAATTCTGACAGATGAGACCCAAGGCACTACAGGATAGGCATGACATCCCTGAAGGAACAGATGTGCCATTTTGGGGGGTTGATTTTAATCTTGAATAAATGTAAATAGTCTTCTCAGAAATACTAGAAATGCACGAAATAGCAAAATTCCTTTTAACATACTTCAAATTTGGAATTTTACTCTTTTTGCCTATATTTGTCTTGTCTATATATCACAGAGTATTTTACATTGATGAGTCGTCTTGTTAACATTCAATCATGAATAATTCTTGCAACACATGGTTTTAAAGGCTCAAATTTAGATGGTGAGTTGTAAACACTATAACTGATAAAAAAAAAAATAAAAATCCTTTTTATACCATTAAGAGTTGTAAATAAAATAGACAGGAGTAATGATCATTGCACACTGTGCATCATTGTAAAGTGTCAGAAAATGAATGACCACATTTCATTTCATGGTATCCTGCATTTGTGAATTATTCAAGTGGTCCAATCCATTGATGTCCATTTAAAAAAAGTATTTATTTGTTGTGGATAAAAATATCCAGGAGAAAACCCATCACTATCCCTTTAAGTTGCCGATTACAATAGATTGCTATGGATGACTACATTAAGACCTTACTAATGATACATCATGATTGGTGAAATATCGGGTAAAAAAGCACTTTCTTTGGTAACAGTCTTCAGTGGTAATTATTGTTCAACTAAATAATTTCCTATACTGAGCTGTTATACTTTATGCTAATAGATTACACCAGCAGGAAGACTCTTTATATTACTGTACTATAAATATCACATCTCAGGCTTTAAAGGACATGTTTGGTTTGTGAATATTTTAATAATCTTGTGACTAAACAATAATTATAGAGGATTTCTAAAAGAAATTATCCTTGCTTGTATTTACTAGCTTTTTATCATACTTTTTTGAATAATTAATAAAATAAAGTTCGTTAAAATCTTATAACCATTTTGCTTCAATGAAATAATGTTTAAATTTTGAATTTGTACAAATTCTTTTCAGACTTGGAAATTAAGAAAATAGTTTAAATTCAATCTTTATCGACCCAGCCAACTCCCTTGATTTAAGCCGACAGTTTGAAGTGGTTTATTTGTTCTAAAAACAAACACCAAAATAAAGTCTGAGCTAGTCGATATTAAGCCTGTCTTCTCCGTCACAAATAAACGACAAGTCACATTGTGCACACAGTGTGTCAGGAGAAGAATAACAGTATGTTTTTACTGAATGATAAATATTGGCATTGACTATACTCAATCAATCTATAATAGTCTTTACTGAGTCAATAAATCATGGTATTCAAATATACAGCATGATAGCAATAGTGAAACATGCGCACAACACAGCCTTTTTGATAAGCTTTCACTCCGATAATTACTGGAAAAATTAAGTTTTTTGGTTTGACTCCTTATGGGTTTGTCTATTTGGTATAGATATTCAAATATTGTGATAAATCATTTGGGCCATGGGGTAACTTACAACTACTTTGAGACATAAGTGTCAAGAAAGCATTCAATGCTACCATCTTTTATACCTAGGATCAGCTGGCAAGTAACGATATATAAACCAAATTAAAACATTTCACAACCATAACCCTATAGCTTCATAAAAATACTATACAATTTATAAGAGAAATTAATCCTTTGTTAGTAGTAGTTCATAAAACACAAACAATTGACTTGACTAAGTATGCAATCGCTGAGTACAATAGTCTTATTGAAGTTAGTGTGCCATTGACTGACCTATTCACTGGACTGTATAAATAATACTATAACTTTATTACTGTACATATACTATATCAAAACCACTTATAATATAAATCATACTTACAAGACAAAAAACTGTCTAGTATAAAATGGTAGGAATCATAATCTAAATATAGCTATCCTTATCACTTTCCAGATTTTAAATCTAATCTGATATTCAGTTCTAGTTGAATATACTATACCTTGGACAATTCAAACTATCATCACTATTAGCTGATAGAAATAAATGCTAAGTGAAATTGTTATTACTACATTATTATTACTAAATGAAAATAATTCCCTAGAAGCAAGATAATTGTTTGCATTGTTCATCCTAGTATTATACTATGGGAACCAACCATTCATTTAATTCTGAGAAGTGATAAGGGTACCTGAAATGGAGCACTATACAGTAAAGAAATATTTACATGGCTATATTCCTCTAAGTTGTATGTACACCTTAATGCTGGTTTTCCATATCTTTTTACACTGTAAATTAACTCAGTAAGAATCATTAAGCTCAACATAAACACAAGACATACCTTTTCATTGAACTATCTATCCTTTTCTATTCATACAGTTATTACTTCCAATATCTTTAATCATCTCAACCTTCTATTTTCTAACTGAAATTTACAACAAAATTTCGATCAAAAACTGAACAAGAAAGAGACAATGAAAACATGAAAAAACAGTTTTGAAGAAGATGCTCAAAGGAGTAGAAAATCCATTTAATCTAAAGAGAGAATGAAACTTGGGTACAGCATATGAATTTTTTTATTATTTTCACAATGTCATATCATATTACAATCTAATTAAAACTATTATTATTTGTTTCTTTTATTCAATTATTCTGATATTTTTATTTGCGTTTTATTTGTTTTCTACCAGTCCAGTTCTTGCTGGGATAGTGGCATTGCCTACATTTTTCAACGATTCTTTCATTTTTTTTATAATATAAATATCAGTTATCTCTTCAGATGACTGCAACAATATGCTACAAATTGTTATCTATGATATTTTTTCTTTACCATTAGGCCTACTATTCATGTTACTTAAATTTCCTTTAGAGCAGCAAACAGAGCTTGAGATTATTGACCAAATCCATTGTTGAAATGACACAAGAAATTGTCAGAATGATGATTTAGAAGTAATGTGTGTCCCTCATGAAAATAAACATATACAGTGATGTAACCTATTTTCTTGGATATAAGGATTCAACACCGAATTTTGTCAAAGTTAAAAAATTTTAGATATTTCCTCAGATATTCTACAAAATAATTAAAATTGGTTTATTTCGATTTTCTTTATGAATCCTTCACTTTGACCCATATTTCATGAGCAACCAACTGGTCAACAGGGGCAGAATGCATCACCTATTTTCGTGTACAATGTTTGAAAAGAAAAACATGTTGTATGAATACCGGGTGGTATAATTAACTTCTCTAAGTATTTATCTTTAATATCAATTCATTATAACTAGTTACAATTCCTTCAAAGAACCACGATTTAAAAAAAAAATAGTGACTGACAAAATATGATACGTAGAGTGATTTATTGCTAAAAGTCACTGAAACAACATAAGAATATGGTCCACTTTTATTCCATAGAAATTTTCTGCTGACACGGAATCCGCTAGTTGATCACGTGACTTCATTAGTTGGACTACATTCTAGCAGACGACACTTGGAATTCAGATTACCGCTTGGGATTATAAGGAAATTCGGCCGATAAAAAATGGGGACGTTTGGTAATAAGTGAAATCTGCCATTTTGTATTTGTCAAAGTATACATTAATACATTTTTCCTTGCTTGAAACTACTGGATTCATTCTACTAGCTGATATTGTAGAGAAAACCCATGTTTATTAAAACAAACTAATGCGGAGCGGAGGTCGCGCAAGGTCGCTCATGTAAATTATTAATCCTTTCCCGGAAATCCACGAATAATAGGTTTCCACGAAATTAGGTTACTCGACTGTAATAAATTTCCATTTATAACTCAGTATATTTCATGAATGATATAGTAGGCTAAGAAAAGAAATCATAATCTATACAAACATCTTAAACTTTTTTTCAATGATATTGGAGTCATTATGTACATTGTAAAGAAAGATGATGATTTTCTTTAAAAAACATGTTTAAAATTCAACAACAGCTGCTTTATGTTAGTACACCTGAGGCAAATTATTGTACAACTCTTTCTCAACTACAGAAATATTTGAAAGTTAAAAGTTAAGGGGAATACTGATCTAGGAACAAATTATAAAGATAACTTGAGACCCCCACTATGTTTATAACTATTGTAAATAAGTGAAGCAGAAAACACTCAATAATTATTCCAACATTAATCATTACAAATAGTCAACAGTTTATTTCATTTAATGTATTTTTAATTTTAAAAAACTAGGTTCAAGAATTGTAATATAGTTTAAACCATGCGTATACCTAATTAAAGCTGAAAGCAAAGCATACAAATTATTTTCAGCTTTGTAACATGCATTTGAGAAGGGAAGGGAATGTAAAGAGGTTTTCTTATGCGTACTTCGGAAACTGATTGCACAATTAAAATGAGCTTTGTGATTCAATAGTGACATCATAAAATGCCTAGTTCTAGTAGAATTAAAGGAAAAGCAGACATTTGACTTGATTTGTCCCGCTTTTTATCATAGAGAAGATAAAAAGAAATATTATTTTCAAACTCTAATTCTGTGAGCTTTTATCATTAAGAGAACCAATCCCTTTAACATCATCAATAACAATTACTGGATTTTAGATTATAACCATGAGAAGAAATAGGAAGAGGAGAAGTCATCAAGAATTCCAGAAGTGTTGGAATCTAATTATTACAGAATATCAACCTGCTATTAACTTGTTTTCTACTCCCTAATTGAATTATTACAACTTCTAGGATGGCTAAATTAATAGTCAGTGTTCTGGAATGTAATTTGCTCACATTGTCAGCATTTGAACACCATTTTGTTTTTTCAATTCGGATCAAAAATCTCCAAGTCATGCAAAATCAATTGCCAACAAAGCATATCATGGAAAACAAACTTTAACACTTTGATTTATACACTAATCACCTTTATCCTTTTTAACTTTATTGAAAAATAAAATACAAATATGTAATTCTGAAAACCGCTTTACAATCCCTTTAATGTATCATGTTGTAAGTATATATATAGTGATATTTCTTAAAGGGATTGTAAGATGTCTGTGATTCTTTCAATTCCACTTAAACTATGCAATTTATGATGTCACTATTGAAAAGGTCCTTAATCATATATATATATCAATAGCAGATTTCGTGATAGTGAAGTAAAAAACTGAAATTGCAAGAGCCATAGGCTGAAAATTGATATGGTGCAAATAGATGATAGGCCTATCAGTGTTCCCGATACACATAAATAGTTAAGAAAACCTACTTAAAATCATAAGTAGAACAAGAAGGTGATGTCTTGTTGAATTTTTAAAAATAATTATATGTTAGATAAACAATTAATGTCTTTCAAAACCTTGCCAAGCCATCAGGCTAGAGTATCTAATAGTCTTCAAAATCCCTAAAACCATTAGACCATTAAAAAGTATTGTTCTTTATTAAGGTAAATATAAAACTGATGGGGGGGTGGGGGGCTCCTTAAATCCAAAATTATTTAGCATACCTATATACAGTCTTAACACAATATATTTGACAAAAAATCTATTTTAATAAAAACATCACTTATCAACTTGGTCAAGAAGCTACTTTTTACTGTTCTTTTTATCCTGAACCAAAGGGTAGCAGTGATTTGAGTGAAATTGGCCTGCTATTATTGCTAAAGTAAAGAATATCAACAATACCTAAAAACAGCCTTTAAATTTGAAATCATTTCAACATACAAAACATATTTTAAAAATTAATGATACCGTTTGATATATTCCAACAGATGGAAGTATGCTTTGGCGGTAAAATATCTTAACAAAGCTGTGTATCCCTTCGGCTGTCCACTTCAACAAAACAGATTGAACTTTCCTGCGTGATCGCCTCTCAATTTGACAACACCTCACAAAATTTTACAGACTGAGCAGGCGATAATAAAACTCTACGATCTAATCAGTCTAAAATCAATTTGGATGCTTACGAAAACCAATCAATAGCATGATAAGCCATAAAAACAATACCTACAGGCTTTTCAGATCTTTCATTCTAACGTGTGTGTAATCCCCCATTTTTCAAACAATCTCCACCGTCTGGCTCTTCCCTTCTCCTCCCCACTAAAACATTCAATTACTAAATACTTCGGAAATGATCCATTATTTCGTATAATCCAAGAATATCAAGTTAAACGTTTACTTTTAGTATTTCCAACTTTTCATAATTTGGAACATTTTCTACGTATTGGTTAATTGCCAATTGATTGATTAGCTTTAGGATGGGAGGACAACAGAACAGCCACAGGAAGTCGCCATTAGTGATTATTTCCGAAATCAAAGTAGTTTTATCCTCTGTAACTTAGCATACTGCAAAAGTAAACCCTGGGTGCATGTTCGTTTAGTTTAAATTTTAAAGGCGGATAATTTAAATTTTATGAAACAAGAATAGCATCACAAGTCGACTTGGCTACTGTACTAAAACAACTAACTTTAGGTCACGTGACACTTTGTCACCACGTGACACTGAAATCCCTTTAATCCTTATTGGTTACAAAAATGCATCAGATTTCAAATTTCAAGTATGACAATGTTATGTCATTTGCCACAATAGTCTATTTGAGACAACCCACACTTTCATGGAATTTAAAAGGGATTTTTCCAAAATGGTCTCCATCCCTATAGCCTACACCAGCTTATAGACAGTTGAATATTGTTAATATTATAGGCAATTATAACTGTCTATAACTGCTTTTTGTATTTTTGCCATTCAAGGGTTGAGATTTCAAGTGTAGAAGTGCCATGGGTGCAAGTTTCAATTGAGGGATTTCCAGGACAAATTTTGAAAAATTAATTTGAATTTGTGCATTCTCACACATATTTTAAGGCAATTGTAACGAAATCACATAGCTTGAGGCTTGAGTGAGTATTTAACATGCAGAAAAAATACAAACAAACAATCTGATTTGCACTTTAATCAGAATGCATAGTATTTGAAATTAAAACTTGATGATTCACGAGTCCACATGCATATTTTATCTTTTTTCCAGCAAGATAAGATACAGTACAGGCCCCTAACCATATCAACCTTGAAAAGATAACAAATCACTCTTATTAGATCTAGGTCTTTTTTATTATCTCTTGTTCAGATGTGAGTTTAATAGGGTTAACACTATATAATATGAGTGAGGATTTAAGCACCATCCACAAACCAATAGGAAATTTGTTTGAACCTATTAAGGTAAATTTCACTATTGCCATGTTTTGTTATGCAGTTTAGGTTTTCTGTTATTTCTTTAAAGGGACAGATGCACCATTATTTTTGACCAATAGTCAAATAGTCTCAGAAACTGAAATTTTTTAGCTAAGTAAATCAGTGGTTATATTCTGTAGTTCATTTTTCATCAGTACACATGAAAAGTAAATGTTGTAATTTAAAGTTGAATTTAAAAACAGGATAAATCAGAATGGAATAAGTTTAAACTATCAGAGAAAGAAATAGAAGAGTTTTGGAGAGATGGTTATTTATTAAATAAACAAGTTTTAACAGAAAAACAATGTGATCAAATACTAGAAGATTATCGCACCTTTCTGGTAGGAGACTTTTAACCTTTTCTGATATAAGTCCCTTGGAAAGAACGTGATATGCAGAGTTGACAGTCTCAATTGTAGCTTGGTCAGAAGCATACTCTGCTCATTGATGATGCATAGTGAATCTTAAAGCTTTGGATGCTTACAGTTTACAAAATAAACTGGCCACAGTCGATCCCCATTGAAATTTGAGACATTTTTGATGTTTTTAAAGAGACAATATGTGTTGTATGGATAGAATCCTCAAAATTTGACTTATTTGTCACTGACTGACATTTTGAAGTTCCATTCAGACAAAATTGGTGAATATAATCAAACTGTGGTCTGGCAACAGCTTTCTGACATCAATCCTGTGAGCATCTTTCTTGTTCCATACAAGATTAATCTAGACTGTGTTCTAGACTACTACATAACTTTCTTTCTATCTAACGGGTATTAAGATTTAAATTGTAATTTAACTTGATATATTGTTATTTGTAGACTAATAAAGAACCACCTAAGAAAGATTTATTGTATGAATTTCACAGTAATCAGAGTGGTGATCCTGACAATGTATTAATGCATTGTTTAGGTCACTGGAGAATCACTGAAAACTTTCATGATATTGTTTTTATGCCTAGTGTAGTGGTAGGTATTGTAGATTATCTTTATAGCATCAGTCATTTTGTTCATGATTTACAAGGATTGCCGATCTTGCCAATCTTTTTGTATAGCATGGATTCTGTTTGAGTCTTTCAAATTTTCTGTAAAAAGTCTAGTTCCTGTAAATATAGAAATGCTTAACTGCATTTAAGTCACTATCATAAAAGCTCAATTCCTGCACTATAGAAAACAGCAAATAAATACATTTTTGTCTCTCCTGATGATAGGTGCCAGCTTCTCAGCTTTTAGAACAAGGACATTTAATTCCAGTAAGATTTTGGCATGATCAACTGTTTGCTAAGCCTCCTAAGATTGGTGGTGGCGTGGCTTGGTAAGTAGATCTTGTTGGATTTTTTTTAATTGGCCTTGTTGGATGGAAAAATTTGTACAATATCAGAATCCTGATCTAATCTTTAATGATGAAGAGCTTCAGCCACTGCACTTATTTGTCAGAAATATGAATGGCCCTCCAATCTGTATTGTATGAAATCTATTTTTGTCGCAACTTTACTTGTGAAAAACATTTTGTACTTAAAAGGATATGCAAATTTAGATCGTGCTTTTTTACCAGGCATCAAGATTATTCCTACTGGACCAGAACTAAACCAATGAAACATTTAACGGTGAGTTGACTTATATCTTTTAAAACCTTTATTAGTTCTTAGTGTATCTTGAATTATCTCCCTTTAATGTGTCTAGGGAGATAGTTTTCTTACGTTCACTTGACAAAATATTGAATATTCAATAAAATACATCTTGTTGCCAAGTTTTAGTGGTAAGCTTATGAGAATTCTATCTCCTTTTGAAAACAATACCATCTTAAGACCAAAATTTGTTAGCTAATACTAAAAATAAATAGTGAAGTCAAAGCACTTTCTATTTTAGGTTCATATAGCATTAGATGATCAATCAGAAGAGAATGGAGCTCTACATTATATCCCTGGTTCTCATCATTGGACAAGAGATGGTGGTAAACCACTTCCTGTTACAGATTTTAATTTTAAAGATATGGAATCCATTCAGGTAATAGTTCAATAACACAATTTCATCATTTCTTTGGACTATATAGACTGACCATAAACTGTAACAAGCATAGGTATACATGCCATAATATACTTAAACAATATTAACAATATCTGATCTTAAAGAACTGTGAATTTGAATACAAAGTTAGAAGTACATGAACCATGAATATCCATTGTGTATTTGATGACATGAAAAACACAATTCTATTTCAAATATGAAGATAACTTACAAGTTTAAGGCATATAGCAATAGTGTCGCATTAATTCTGAATTTTTAACAGAAACTATATTACTATATTGATTATAGTACCTATATTTTTAAAATGTATTAGATCTGTATAAATGAGGTACATGAATATATTTTATAGACAATTTTAACAGAAGAAGAAAAAGTTGCTTTTAAACCAGTTTGTGGTCGTTTAAGAAAAGGAGAAGCCAGTTTTCATCACCCATTGGCTGTTCATGGTTCCTATGGTAACAGGTACATATTGAATTACAAAAAGTTTTCAGTAATATATTCTTGTTAGAAAAAAATGCGTAAGCAAATTTGTTTGCATTTTCCAAAGTTTAAAATTTTAAGTCATGAAATAACCCAAATATTTCAGATCAGAAAGGCCTAGAAGAGCTGCAGTGTTGAATTATTTTGCGGATGGTGTTGTATCTAATACTGATGAAGAACTATTGAAAGGAAGTCTTATACCCAAGGTAAAGCTATTTCTTGTCATATTTGTATTGACTGAAAGAGTTTTAACTTAAATAGTTACATGCAGAATTTTATATTTCAAAGTATTTCCCTTTTACACCATATTTGGAAATTGTTGCCCATAAATATTGAAATATTCTTTAAAATTTGTAGGGTGAGAAAATGGATGGAAACTTGTATCCTATTGTGTTTGATCCCAAATGGACTGAGTAATATCGATTTTTACGATATACTAATTTAAAAACAATATATTTATCTAAATATTGTGTTTAATAATAAAAGAACATTGGATTTTAATGCTAAAAAGTGATACAGATGGCTATAAGGCTGTTAAAAATAAACATATGACTATGCATTTACAGCATCAAAAGAATTTATATCTGCTTGAGACACTTGCTTACTATGTTATTGTGCATATTTTTAGTGTTTTCTGCAGTGTTTGTTACTTTAAGCTTGTTATGATTTTACTTGTACAAATTTATTGTATATAATTTATTATATCTCACACTTGTTGATTTTGCACTTGATAAAAAATTTATTTATGTATTTAATATGAGTTTGACTTTTGGTAGACAATTTCACTAATGACATATATTGAACTTTACATAAACACTAGTTAAAGATACCTGACCATGCAATTTAAATCATGGCAGGGTTATATCATGACAGAGGAAGATGAATAGAGGGTTGGATTGCAAGTTAGATTGTCGTCTGCTAGGGGTTTGAATCCTCCTCAAGGTAAGAAAAATACTGATACCTTCAACCCCTATCACCTAACAGAGCCCAATTCCATTAAATGACCTGGTGTATCAATTTTTAAGGTGTCTGTTTTTTTTAGCTATTTTTGATATCAATGGTGGTTGTGGGTTATATTCTCATAAGTCTGCAGTCCATAAATATCATAGATCTTATATTAAAAAAGCTAAGTGAAAAAATCTAAGTAAACCTAGCAAATGTAGAATGGTGATTTCAAAATAAAATTTTATTTTGGTAAGCAATACAGTAAAATAAATAATATTCATAACAAAAACTGAATATCAGATCTCACAAAATACATAATAACAGAGACAGTTGGTTTCCTATTTTAATATTATATGTATATATTAATGACATATAATATTTTAAAATAAGCACATATATATCTTGCTCAGTACTTAGATTGTAATATCAAATGGTTTCACACTTATAGCAAATAACCTTATTGAGATCTCTGAAACATCAAAAAAGCGTGTTGAAATATATTCAGAATTACAAGTTATAAGCAGTGCATATTTAAGCTGAAGAGTAAAGGAGGTAGATATGTGGAATGATATTAAAATGGAATTTTTCAAATTGACTATTGTAAAGTTTAGTGCATATCAAAGTGGACTTTTAATGATTGAATTACACTGTGTAATCTGCCCACTTTATACAGAAAAGACTGCTCTTTTTCATTTTTGAGTGTACCCACCAGCGCACAAAAATTTATAATATTCTTTTAAGATTAAGAAAATACAGTAACAGAAGTAATAAGTATAGATATACAGTAAGGTTACCATATTGTATACACAAGACAAGTTAACAGCAGTGAGCTATCGATATAAATGCATAAATGCTATAAATTGAATAATACTGAATGATATAAGGCCACATAACATATAAGATAGACTAAAATAAACCATTTTATAGAGCCAAATAGATTTGATTATTAATAGGAAAATGGGCATATTCAAATGAATTATGTAACAGTAAATGTGATGGGTAACATGCTACTAGCTATGGGTGATTAATGTGAATCGCAATATCAGCTTTAAAACAGTGATAATAGATTGACTTTGTGTTTCTGGATATATTCAGTTTGTAAGTGGCAAAATAATAACAATTAAAAAAATGTAAGCCAGAAATGACAGAATGATGTAAATACATGGCTGTAAGCATCAAAATTATTATATCTTGTATCTAATCATTTTTCACAGGGTATCCAGTATAAATATTAATTTTAAATCAAAGACATTGACTAAATACATGTATTGAGTATACAGATACAAATATTATGACTAAGTGACCATTTATTCCTTCCATGACTGTCAAGAATGTTTTCAAATATCCCAGAATTTAGTAGCAATACACTTATTTGAAAAGCATAAAAACATAACTACAGTATTTCACTAACACATCTAGCCTTTTCGCTAGCCAAAGGTTTTTAGGAGTTTTCTCTTTTTAGTGTCTCTTTCACTATTATTTGTTTATATCACAAGGTTTTCAGATACATAATAAATTGTATACACACAGTTGATGCCTTCAGCAGCAATAGATCAGTTGTCAATTTTTGCACATTCACAATCACATTTGAACAAATATCTGAACATACAACTTTGTTCAAACAAAGAGATTTAACACAATAGTCTTAAAGTAAATGCATAAAGTTTTGAACCCTGTAGCACACAATGTATAGGTTTAACATTCTGTTTGTAAATCAGCCTCTACCCATGCCACTATTTTACCTTCCCAGCCTGGTACAATATCATCATCATTAGCCATCTGCAATTATAGAAAAAAATATGGTAAACAAAAAGGGCATCTGGGAATGACTTTCACATCTATGGAGCTATAAGGTATGTAGCAAAAGGCAAAAAAGACATACAAGAAATTATTACTAACTGTTCCATAGAGCTGCTTTGACAAATGTGAAGTGGAGTTTTACATCCTAATTTTCTAGACAGACCAGCGAAAATAAGTTTTAAAACCAGGAATCGTTATCTCAAACTATCTGCAGGGAGTGTAACCATGGTTATGTTAGACGTTCTATTTAAATATCACCCTTACCTCTTCTTTAACAGTACCATATTCTGGATCTAAAGCTTTAAAATGATATCTATACATTGATGGTCTATCAAATAATTTCTTAAAATCACGTAATTTAATTTCACCTAGCCTAATATACAAAGGAAGACAATTAATAACAAGGGTTGAAGTGATGTTCTGCATCTTTATAAAGGGCTGGGTTTTTACAGTTGCCCATCCTAAATACCATATCATGACTGAAGCCTGTATTTCAAATGAATCATTGAGAACAATGTATGGTTATACTCAGATCTTATGGCCCATTATTTTAAGGCACAATTTTTCAGATATTACTTACATTTTAGATATTTTACACATTTTAGGTGTAACTGATGTATCAGTAAAATATAAAACATTAGTTGATGGTTCTGGTGGTTGTGTATTGTTGATTTTATTAGGTTTATTCATTCTATAACCTGTATAATAAAAAGGAACATGTGCCTTCGAAGTAGGAAACAACAATTCTTCTTACAAGGAATACAACTTTTAACAATAAATATGAATAATGAGGATAGATTATCAAGTCACCAAAATTCACTGCCATTCACCATTTGTTCCTGACCACCATTAATTGTTCTATCTAGCCAAGCAAATTTAAATCTTTTGGTCCTCTGCTGGTTCCAAAATGTTGAACAACCTAATCAACAAGTATTTATTCAGTGAAACATATTGGAGCTAAATTCAGACTTGACTGACAGAAAAAGACCAAGCCTGACACCTGAAGAAAAAATAAATATTACCTGTAGGTGTAACACTGGAAGATAACTGGCGTTCAGGAGCAGAATCATAATTCAACTTTTTAGGAGATGATTCTGTGAAAGACTGCAAAAGAGGGAATCATACTGTTCTTGATGTTTTGTGATGTTTGTCATGGTAATGTCCAGTTACATTGTGATTCGGAATAAGACATCTATCCTTAATATTCAAATTGACACAGATGTACTAGTCGAATAGTTCCAAAACAGTCTTATCAAGTTTTTATAAAAAGAAAAAAAAAAGAACATACCCGGGAAGAAAGAAGTGTATGACTACTACTATAAGGTGATGATGATTCGGTAGTATGTAGTTTTTCTATTAATAATGCTATACTCTGTTCTAGAGTATCTATAGTGTGATTGTGAGGTGACGTCTGCTCAAAATGGTGGCGTAAACTCTGTAACGAATCCCTCACTATGTGTAGTTCACTTGCTGAACTCTGTAAAAAATTTATAAGTTGCCATGAAATATACTTGACTATTGCGTAAGCTCACTTGTGTCAGCTTGGATATAATTCTAATACAGAGAAGAGAATGGTTACCTTTATAAATGTGCATTATATTTGCAATTATACAGTCTATAAATGTTCAAACTTCTTCTGTTTCTGAGGACTAGGATCTTGAAAAAAAAAGAATCCACAAACCTGATATTCTGGTTTAATACTATGAGAACCATCTTCAGGATTAGCTTGAAATATTTTACCTTCTAATCTAGCCATTCTTTTATCTTGGGAGGCTACCCTTGCTGATAAACTGGCCTATAATGTAAAATATAATGATAAAACAATCATACAAGATCATAGACACAGTCTTTCTACAATTCAAGACGGACACTATATTTCTTCAAGTAGGAATCTATACATCCAGCTCTATTTTCGGCTTTAAGAATTTAATAGATAAATAAATAATTAATTATGAAATATGCAACAAAAAGAACAAAATTCAAAGTACGAGATAAAGCATTGAGAAAACCATGATTTTGTCATATCAACCACTGATTAATTACAAGAACTCACCCCTGTTGCACCAACTATTTGCATCTGATCATGTAAATCTCTTATTTCAGATTTTAAAGCTGATGTTATCTTCTCTTTTTCATGTATTTGTTGTGTTATCTCATCTTGTAGTTTCACTATATCATGCTATGAAAAGTAAATATTACTTTATGTTATATTCAGGTATAATGTCATGAGCTATATCAATAAGAAAAAAGTACTCCATCAGAGAAGTCTTGTGTCTTAGGCAACTATAAGATGGTAGACTACAATTTTCTAGTGCTTTAAACTTAATAATATTCAGTATGCAATAAGAGAAAATTTTTTTCTGGTTACCAGCATAGTGCTCAAGTTTTTTCATGCCAGAAATGGATGGGTAAATGAGTATTGTCATGCAGAATCTTGCTAAGACAATCAGCATAGCTCCAACTTACAACTTAAGAATAAGTAAAAGATTAGTATCTACCTTTAAAGATGTTATACATTTATCTTTAAGATGTAACTGTCTTATTAAACCAGCCTGAAAATAAATAATAAAAACCTTTAATCTGGTAGACTCTGTGAATAACATTCCAGAGACTAGTTTTCATATTTTATTATCTTGATGTCATTGACTACTGTTCTACAATAACATAATCAATTTATAATCAATATCAATCAATTCTTTAAATAAATGAAAAGTTTTAAATCATGAAAAAATGTTAAACTTACTGTTGCATCTTCTGAACCTTCAGGATCTTCACCTCTTAATAACTGTAATAAATCGATGCAGATAAAAATCATATGCTATTTCAATAAGTTTATGCAATAGTGTAGCTTTTCTCAATGTCAGCCCTCCTCCAAAATCATCACTTACAATGTAAATTTTATTTTACTAAAAGTCTTTGTGCAAACTAAACTTGATGTCCAACAATCTTGCTCAAAAGGAGATTTGAAATGGTCTGCTGGTGATGTCTGAAGAAAAACACACTGATACTGAATAAAGAAAAAGAAGCATAAAAGCCAACAACGACTAACTCACCAATTCTTGTAGCATGATTAACTCGGTTTTTGTTTCCTGCATGGAATGACCTAGTTCTGTATATTCCTGCAACAACTCATCATACTGTGTTTTATCAACAACACTGGCAGCATCTTCTAATTCTGCACCACTATCTTTAGCTGTTAGAAGAAGAAAAAGTGCAGTTACATTTTGAAAACACTATTAAATTTCAGATTACCCAATCAAAATTTCTACCAAAAATTTCCCTCAATTACTTTAAAGTTTTGCATTCATTCAAAACAAGGGCAATAACTCACCATGTATATGATCTATAGATAATGATTTACTGCGTGGTAAATGGTCAGTATAACTGCCCTCTCTTACTGGTGTATTATAACATCTCGGACTGAGTCTATTGTTATACCCTCGACTACCACTGGCATCATAATGTCTTAAATCTCTTCTTGGTCTTCCAGGATGACTTCTTTCACTATGATCAGAATCAGAAAACTGTTCAGAACTACTGTCTTGATACCTGTAATGCAAATCATTGAAAAAAATATTAATTCACTAGTGTAAGATTATTTTAACTAGGGAAAAAAGAAACTGAAATTATCTCCCTTGACACAATATTACTTCCCTTTAATAACAAAAAAAAATTCAGAATGCTGCAAGGTCTCTCCAAGGACCTACACTGTGTTTAGTTAGTGAAATGCTTCAAAACATCTCCTTGCATCTTTATCTGAATGCAGATTTTCTGATCATGTTCATCGTGAATATTAACTGTACCTGTGACCATGTCGTCTGTCAGCTACAGCGGACTCTCTGGTACGTCTGTGTCTATGACCAGCTCTAGCTGCATTTCTTCTAGCTTCTGATAAAGCTACAGCAGCATCCTATAATACAATATAATACACAAGTTAAATTTATTGAAAAATCTTGCTGTTCCTCAAGAACCATACCATGCCAGAGGATGAATCATAAACTTTTTTTGCCAAGAAAAAAAGTTAATCTACTGAAAATTATGGATTACCTGAGCTATATAGGGTGGTTATGTAATATGGTGATATGAACTTACCTGGGCTGTACACGATGGTGATCTTATATGGTGATATAAACCTACCTGGGCTATACAGGATGGTGATCTAATATTGTGATATGAACCTACCTGGGCTGTACAGGATGGTGATCTAATATGATGATATAAACCTACCTGGGCTATACAGGATGGTGATCTAATATGGTGATATAAACCTACCTGGGCTATACAGGATGGTGATCTAATATTGTGATATGAACCTACCTGGGCTGTACAGGATGGTGATCTAATATGATGATATAAACCTACTTGGGCTATACAGGATGGTGATCTAATATGGTGATATAAACCTACCTGGGCTATACAGGATGGTGATCCAATATCGTGATCTTATGTGGTGATATGAACCTACCCGGGCTGTACAGAATGGTGATCTTATATGGTGATTGGAACCTACCTGGGCTATACAGGATGGTGATCTGATAATGTGATATGAACCTACCCGGGCTGTAAAGGATGGTGATCGTATATGGTGATATGAACCTACCTAGGCTATAAAGGATGGTGATCTTATATGGTGATATGAGACTAACTGGGCTATAAAGGATGGTGATATGAACCTACCTAGGCTATAAAGGATGGTGATCTTATATGGTGATATGAGACTAACTGGGCTATAAAGGATGGTGATATGAACCTACCTAGGCTATAAAGGATGGTGATCTTATATGGTAATATAAACCTACCTGGGCTATACAGGATGGTGATCTTATATGGTGATATGAAGAATGTTTAACACTAGAAGGTTTATAATGGGCTGCTAGAGCCAGTATTAATCTCATTATACATTTTAAATTACCATCAATAATATCTGAAAAAATTAATAATCAGTTTAGTAGCCTATCAATATTATCAAAAATGTGGGCATGAAAATACTAATTACCTCCCTTGATGCAATATTACCTCCCCTTAACCACACAGATTGTATTATCAAATATGGAGTCCTATCTAGTTTTTAATGCCAATCAAACAGTATTACTTGCTTCAAATCTTAATATACTTGAATTCAGAGATTTATTGACCTCCATATTTGACTGCAATTCAGCCATTGCTACCTCAGTTTTCAACTTTCCAAAGGAGTATCTTAGTACTTGTAGGCCCTATGCTCTGTAAAATTCTGCAGTTCATCATAATTGCATCCAAGAAAAAAAAATCTCCAAAGATCTCATTTAAAAAGCAAAGCTCAATTTGTGAATCTAGGTCTCAACTTATGTATAGCTTTTGCTAGCTGTTTTAAGCAGTATTGTGTAACACTACTCTTCTTTCAGATTCAAAACTTTGGTGGCTCTTCTTTATGAAGTTACATAAAGCCCTACCTTGAGCTGTCATTTCATGCACTCTGATTTTATTTTTCTCTACAAACTGTAGAACTGTATCTATATTATGTATCATGTCTTCTCTGGTATCAGGATTGGTTGAAATATTACACAGCTTTTCATTGCCTATAAATAGATATAGGCTACATCAGTCCTAATTTGTTATTCAAAAAACAAATTTGATGAACGGCCAGATACCAATGACAGAAGGCAAGGAATCACTGTTCTCCTCTGCAGTCAATTGTCTTGTCAGTATCTTGTTGATCTAACTCAGCTGAACATTAGAAGAAAGAAGAAATATTGCTGACACATTTACAACAATTCAGCCAAAGGTTTTGCATCTTTTGTCATTGGAACAGACTGTGTGGTATGTGTATTTTGTGATATATCAGGAAAAATTGCTCCTTCCTCTATGTTATGAAGACAATAAGGAATTAGAGATAATAATATGTACATACCCACAATCTCAATAAGTGTAGCCAGGATCTGTCCATCTCGAAGATCTGTTCTCAAATCATTTATAGGTGTACTGTCTGGTCTTTTCCGCAACTGAGAGTTTACCCAAGCTTTATATGCATCTAATTGTTGCTGAAATTAAACAAAATTATAATTCAGTAATCTATGGATAGCAAAACAGGACTTATTTACGATGAAAATTATGTTTTTTTTCAATTTAAGAAATTCTTACAGATTAGCTAAAAAAAAAAAATAATCATCAATATCAACATTTTTCTTAAGTCTGTTACTCTATAACATATTATAGGGCAAGAATATGTGCCAGCAATCGAAAGGCAAGGGTCAAATCCTAGCTTGGATTATTTTGAAAATTTACATATGAATACCAAGAGAAATGTGTCAGACCTCCAAATATGCATAACCACACTATTACAGATAGACAATACAACATTACTCATTTTCTACTACTTACTTGCCACTCTATCCAAGCAGGAGAACCTTCAGTTGGTTCAGGACTTTTGATAGAACTGGCTGACGATCCAGACACATTCATCCTTTCAGAATACTTGAACACAATTTATAAATGAGCAGCCCTTAGATTTTAAGTTGGGATATCGTGATGTATTATTTTTTTTTGACTAGTGCATAGACTAATATCATTGGAAACTTGGAAACTATTTTTCCACTGGTCTTACATTATCCACATAACTAATAAGAGTAATCCATGATAAGATCTTGAAATGTCCAGGAAAGCTGTTCACACATAATTTCCTGATTTTGTCAGTTTTGTTTAAAGGATATTGTGTAATGTTCTTTTTATGATATATCCTTGAGAATAATTAGTGTCCTGTATTGTTATTATAAATAGGAATAATAAACACAAAATTTTCTAGAGAACAAATGAAAATAATACAATTTACAATGTCTACAATATCACAGATGCATAGTGTGCACAAATATATACTATGTATTTAATTCTATAACAATACTTATTTACACTTTATTATCAATAACCACTTATTAATATGATATATCCCCAAGGGTAAGTATGTGAATATTATAAAGTTTACAATGTTTACATAGTAATATATCTGTCAATATAACCAACCATTTATATGGCTACTGTATAATATTAGATCATAATAGGCTTATATCAACAGTATACAGTTTAGGCATATTTATATACTTTAAAGCTACAGTCACGCCAGCTATATTGAACCTTAATACAATATTAGGCCATGATCAAGTCAACCAAAATGTTTCAATTTAGTCCTATCTAAAAATGACAATGGACACAATATCAGATCTGGTTGAATTGGTCCAAATATAGGTCAACTTGAGCACTGACCTAAATTCCATAGCAAATATCAAGACCAGATGAAAAATAGCAGTTTCTGGTTAGCTTGAAATTTAAACCAAATGTGTCCAAAATCTAATTATAGATTACATAATTTCCCTGCACAGCTGGGTGTCTTTGATCAGACAGAAGAAAACTGAAGAGGATGACTTGAAGATAACAGTAGCAATCTACAGCATATTGTCTCAGTTAAGATTTGTTTATTTGTCAAGGATAAGCCGAGCGTATTATATTGTTGACAAAGTCAATAAATATCCAGTCCTTTGAAACAAAATCAGCGCTTGATGGCAAAAAAGGCAAATAATGTACCCATTGTTCAAACAACAACTGTTACATGAATCGCTTTCACAATTTTACTAGCAGACGACACATTCAGAACGTCATCGTGATGAAATCATGGTGAATTCATAATCAATTTGAATACAAACATCCTTATTCATGGTATCGATTGAAATATTTGAGACACTTAAACATTCTCACCACGTTTCAACAACAAAATTCTTTTGAATTTTTTAAGATCAATTGGGAAAAATTTACCAACACAGTCAAAACTTACACCCGAGTGTAAATTTATTATCCAAAATGGCGAATTCCAATATCTTCCTATCTTGTCTGCAATAAAAATACAAAATCAATAACTATCAGCAAACACATTATTTTTCACAATTCAACGAAACACAAATATTCCAGTACATTTAAATATTGTTATATCGTTATGACAGGCAGGTACAAATAGAGTCATCCATTTGTCAAATCAATCGATAGGTCGTTGGAAAATAATATCCGGTTCAGAATTTGAATGTCAGATCGTCCAAACTTACCAACATGTCACAGCTTGTAAATGGAAGAACATCAATGAACTTAGTTCACGTTTGTTTAGAAAATATTTTATTGTTTTATTCACGTTGATATTTGAATATCTCTCGATTCACATCTGTTATACTTTTATGTTTTTATGCCATTCAAAACTTATACATGCGACAGTTATATGAAATTAAAGGTTTCCATAACTTTTTCTATTGCTAAATACCTTGCCAAGTAGCCAATAGTTCATCTATCCTAAAAGTCGATTTTTTTTTTCAATATCATAATCTACTTTGTTCAAAAAACAAGGTGAGCTCACATTTTACCCACTGCTGAGAAAGAAATTAAAAGACGTTTTGAAACTTTGAGTCAGGATGCTTCAAGGCAGGAAATGAAACAATTTTATATTTAGATAGGCCGGTCAGAAACCGCCAGACAATTCTTATCCGTGATATTGTTCAATGGAACACACTATTACAAAAGCAATTCAAATTTGTTTATCGTGTACATGGCTAACACCTGTCCTTTCGTGACGTCACTAAACCTGGACAACTCTAGTTAATGATCATACAAATTAGACTCAGAAAGTTATTCATGTATTAACAATAGAAAAGCCTATTGTTATAACTGTCTTACTAAATCTTATTGATGGTCAGAATGCGTGTCCGAAATATAACCAGTCATTGCAAGGCGTACGTATAGGATTGAAGTTTAATTCCATCCACAAGTTACCAGCTTTTTGAAGTTATCCTACCAAATAAGGCTCTGGGCAAACGATAGCAAACGCATAACTTGAATTTAAATGCTGCTAATTTATTGTTTGAGAAAATTAGAAAAACCTGAAGGTATACCTTTAAATTTCTCTCGGTCAGGTTGAGATACGACATGACATTGTTGCACTGATATCCCACTGTGCCAATTTGCTATTACAAGTTGAACAAGTAAAATTTGAAAAGAATCCTGTTTATGCAATTTAATTTTCAATCAAAAGAAAATCGAAATCAGATGACTGCGTTGATGGTGATTTCAATTTTTGTTACTGATGTCCTCTATTTTCATAGTCACTAGTTGCAAGTCATATGCAAAAATGTGCAATAAAAGGGAGTTTTAAATCCTGGATTACTTTAGTTTATCAGAATTAAAATGTAGCTCAGTGGTACCTTAAATGCAAGACTAGAATACACCACGTTAGGATATCAGACGCTTTTGTTAGAGTCTGACACTTTTCCCAGGTGAAACTGGACAGTACAAAGAAACAAAAGCACCAGTGTGTCTGAATCGTTTCTTCTCACAACTTTGAAGCTGGACAATAGATCAAATAGAACTGTAAGTGACCAGTTGACCAGTGTTAAAACAGTGTGATATTATTAGAGATAGGGGTGATGATGACTGATAGAGAGCCACTGTTTAGATCACGTAGGTACAGGACCATTAAAGAGATTCCCCTGGGTAGGAATTTGAATAGTGACTGACAGTGATTAATGATAAAGATTAATTCTGACCACAGAAAATTGAGTCTGCCTGAAATATTTACGCCACTGGTTCCTTGACATGTTAGGTCTTAGTTACTGAAAAACAGCCCATATCTTCCATCTTTTTCATTGATTCTTCTGTAACCAATTGTTCTGATATTTTTCATTTAACTCACAGTTAGTTGTCAGTTGAACAATGTACGATTCCATGAGATAAGATTGAAAATTGATTTCTCTCTTTTGACGAAAAATGCCGCTTTAAGTAAATGGTGATTATCATGCTATAGGGTCTATCTAATATTAAAGACCAGTGTCAGCTGTCGGTGTCATGACTGTCAGTATATTGTTTATACTACCTGATAACTAGATCAGATCTTTTTACCTGCTGAGTTTATAGCTAGACTGTGGTGATCTTTATCATAATTGATCACAACTCGCAAATTGAGACAAAAAATAAAAACAGAAACGTGCTCGAATGAAGATAAAAATATAGAAACATGCCTGGCTTAGTAAACCTTATACCTTTTATAAGCCAGCTGGTTGAAAACGTTTCATTAACCTATGATTCTAGACACGTGTACCACTTTCAAATATGGAGCTACACCTGGCAATTTGTTTACAACAAATCGAAATTTTAATTTCATTAAGCTATATATAACACAAAGCTGCAACACAATACATGAATATGACATAAAGTAGGCTATCTGGAATTTGTAGATAATATGAGAACCAATGACAATGTGTTATATCTATAGAAGACCACGTTTCTTGATTTTTTACTGGGTAATGAATATACTACAATCGATGAAATCAGCATACAAACCAAATACATAATATCCATAGTTGCAGCTGTAATAGTCAATATAATCTGTTTAAATCCATAAAACACAGAGCCAGATATAAAAATCAGTAAATATGCTACACAATGTAATCATTTAACAATAACCACATTCCTCTGACCAATCTGAGTTTGTCAATACTTGAACAGGCCGTCATAGTTTGGTGAGCCAGATTTGCCAACCGTTAATATCTCGTAACTATTTAAGTATAGCTCAGTCAACATTGGAACCCTCAGGTTAACTTTTTCATTATAACTAGTGGAATAATATTAAATTGATTACCAAGTACTTTGGTTCTTAGCGATTTCGAATGCATACGTTTGACAGGCATCGGTAAAATTGGTTAGAGTGGACAAACGATCATACCCCAAGGAATTCCATTGAGAGAGATAACGTGTCCACTCAAATCTGGCTTGCATCAACAAACTACGACCAAAGCTAACAAAGTGTGAGCCTAATACAAGTCTGTTGGGCACAACAACCAAACACTGCAAGGTTTACACATTAAACGAAATCCACGGATGTTTACTGCATGTCACAGTGGTCAATGTATCAATTTATTGCAACGCTAAAATGTGTCAATAAACAACAAATAGAGAAGAGACAACTACAAAGTGGAAGAAAATTATCAGTGCTGAACATAATCACTAATGTTCCAAT